AGGGAAAAATAATATCTTTTATTAGATCATCCGATATAGTCAGGAAAAAGACTCAAGCCTTGGGCATGCAAAACCTCCTGGAAAACTTGTCTGACTTTTTCAATTACATTGATATGAACTCAACCTGCAAATCCTGCTTTGCTTTGGCTACTTCCAGCCACCACGAACACTGTCTCTACAGGTGATCACCTCTCTACATTTGAGGGGGCTTTTCCACCCCCATCTTTCTGCTGTTTGCCAGAGTATTTTTTGCTGCCAGACTAACAAAGTAATAATAATTACTGTATTTATCACACACTGCTTCATCTTACTTATTTATACCTTTTCATGACTTTCAGGCTGGTTTGCCCGAAACCACACAGTAAAGCTGGGTGCACCAGGAGGCAAACCCTTACTTATGACTCCTGGCCTTTGCTTTAACCAGCTGGAAATATTTTCTCACTTTCAGGCCAAAAACTGTGAGAAAATCATGCTGACAATAAGCAAAGGAGAACTGCTTAATATCCCTTATATGTTAGATGGTCTACACCCAGGTCTTACATGCAGTTTCACAAATAAGTCTTTAATTTTACTATTGGGAATGTATCACAGCCCCAGTAATTTTTATACAGAGGAAGGAGATTAGGAGACATTTTTCTTCTCATATAGATGGATTACTCTGCTCTGTTCCTGACAGTCTTAAAACTTTAAAGAGCCAATGACAAGTTTGCCAAACTCCTTCCAGGTACCACCTAACCTTTAAGTATTTTTCAAAATAAGACAAAATAACACACTGAACAAAAATGTTTCTCTTTTTTTCACTTGAACTGAAAACTAAAAATGTTCACTTAATGTTTTGGCCTAAAAAAAAAAAAAAAAGGTGAAAACTGTACAAATTGCAAGATGTTGTATTGCTCCAAAACCAAAGCACTGGAATATGAATTTTACTTTCACTTAATGTTTTGGCCTAAAAAAAAAAAAAAGGTGAAAACTGCACAAATTGCAAGATGTTGCATTGCTCCAAAACCAAAGCACTGAAATATGAATTTTACTTAATTTATTTCATAGCCGAAACAATTACGATTTCACACAAATTTAATTATTGTTTCAGTCAAACCAAATGGGTATTTTTTGAGAAAAATACCACAAACCAACAACCAAAACATATGCAATATTTCACCCATGTAATTGTTTTTCTCCAGCGGTGACCTGCCAAAGAGTGATGCTAGGCTATGGACAAAAAGATCCTATAGGACTGGAGAGCTTCTACAGCAACAGGGCAGAGTCCTGAAAATGGAAAAAATTTACTTTCCATGTCCAAAAGCTTCAGGAGGATATGTTTTGTGTAATATTTGTTAAAAAAAAAATCATTGCCTTCACATCTGCTGAAAAAACACTCCTCTTCCTGGTAGCCTCTTTGCGAGCCATGCAAATGGTGCTTTGCAGAGTTAGAGGCAGAGATGTACAGCGGTAACTATTTTTAGACCTCTCATGGATTTTAAAAGGGCTTTTGCATATGGAAAGTAAAAAAAAAAATGCAAAGTATTTCAGGAAAAGGATAGAATGATTCATAGAGCAGAAGGGAGGGGTTGGTGCTTTTATCTTCTGTGGACAGAGTTGCTACTGGGAGCCTCAGTGCTGGTGGGGAGGGCACGGTGCACATCTCCCACGAGGAACCTCAGCTTGATGGGTCAGTATGGCAGCCTCCATGCTCATCTCGCTGCCTCCACAATCACTCCTCCCCAGCACTGATCGCCTTGCCTGGCCCATCGGATGTCCAGCGTGGGGTGTATGTGTGGATGCGCAGGGAAGAAAGTCTGTGCTCTGAGATTACTCTGATGTGATAGATGGTGGCAAACAACACTAAAACCCTCTGCAGAGGGCTTTCTGGCTCTGTAACATCTTGATGGACAAAAAAAAACCCCCTCAGAGAACAAGCATTGCACCCGTTCACATACAGAGCTGGGCGTTTCAAGTCACATGTAGCAAAATCCCAAGGCGCCTTCTGTGGCTCTTAACACTTCTCCAAACACATAGGTCACTGTAGACCTATCTGTGTGCATCACCCAGACAGCAGCAGATGCATCTGATAACAATGTTATGTTGACTGATGAAGTCATAGGTCCCTGCGCATTTATTTTATGTTTGTGCTTCCTTTGATACATGGTTAACATGGTGTTTCATTACTCCTAGGGGGTGGAAAATGACTATACTTATGTATGTTTATCTCTTTTAAAAGGAGATGAAGGGTAACTGTGATGACCCAGGTAATACTGGCTGCTTAGCCCAGCATTAATCCTAGCAAAATACAGGCAAACACGATGGGATTCAATTGATTAAGAACTACAGAATATGAATATAATTAATGCCATTCAAAATGGTCATATGGAAAGTGGATCTTGTCAGACTAACCTGATTGTCATTCTTTGATAAGATTATAGGTTTGCTTGAAAAAGTTGGGTTGAACAGATGTAATATACCTAGACTCCTGAAGGGCATTTAACTTACAACCATGAGTTACCTGATTGCAAAAGCAGCAACACACACCATCAGTGGAAGAGAGCATACATGGATTAAGAACCTGTTGCTGACACCTCAAGTATCTGTCACTGGGGGAGTCATCATGAATAGATGTGTTTCTAGCAGGACCTGTCAGGGACTGACAGCAACCTCAATACCATTCAACACTTCTAACTGGGATCACACACTTAATTTAAAAACAATTTAAAAAATTCTAGATGAAATTGGTGAAGCAGCAAACAGTGGGCAAACAGGGCAGCCAAAACAATCTGGATCACATAGTAAATGAACACAGCCAAATACAAAGTATGTACACCTAAGAAGAAACATGCACAGAACGAGCTCAGCTGCACGACCAATGGCCAAATGACCAAGGTAACCATGGATGGGAACAAAGAGACTATGCACCTTTGCTCAGGCAGATAGGAATACATTGCACATACTTCCATTGCCCAAATTTTAAAGAAATGAACAGAAGGGGAGAAAAGAACTGCAAAGAATTGAACTGATTTGAAGAGTTCTAAGCAGCTCTGTTTGCTTAGTTTATCCAAGATGGAAATTAAGTCAGCTTTCAATCTGTAAGTAACTTCAACCAGAAAAAGTACCAAGTCCTATACAGCACTTCATTTAGTGGAGCAAAGCATAAAAGTCAATGGCTAGAAGCTGATTTAAAATAGCCAGACAGGGAATAAGGCACACATTTTCACCAGTATAATTAACCACTGGAGTCAAGTGCCAGGGTAAGAGGTAGAGCCACTGCTCACCAGAGTCTCCAACTCAGGACTGGAGGCCTTCTGAGATGTTACTTGAGTCAAATGTAAGTTATGCTTTAGGCAAAGTCAAAAAGATTACAGGGTTCAATACAGGTGATCAGATGAAATCTGCAGGTCAGATTATAGACCCTAATGATCATTTTTGCTCTTAATCTGAAGCTAGGACTTAATAGCTGTTGAAGTCCACACGATTCCCTTTGTCACACAGTGTTTCCACATGATGTACGAGCCACTACTGAATCCAGTGAGAGTGCACGACTTATGCTGACTCCAGATTTTGAGAGGGGTGGAGGAAGTATTCTAAAGTTTGGGTTTTCTCTGCACTGAATAATGTTGCTTATGGGATTTTCTGGTATGTCTAAGGACCAACGTGAAAAAGAAAAACACAAGGTAGTACAAACAATGCATAATACATCACTGATAGCAGGGCAGAATTAGGAAGACTGCTACTTGCTTTTTGCTCAGATTTTGCAACTTCACCTAAATATCGGGGCAGTAGTTGGTTACTTCCTTCTTCCTTTCTGCATAGTTAGCAGCTTCGAAGTATTTTCTCCCTTGCAGCCCATGCTAGATGATCTGTGCTTTTCTGCCATGTAGGGATTAGTTCAATTAACTTTGCATGCATCTACCCTAAGCACCTCAAACTTTAGCTAGCAAAGGTGCAGCTCAGAAGCTATGAGTTCAAGATACTTTGTTCGTATCCAATACTACTCTTCAAGTATCTCAGTGCACCTTAACAGTGAGAAGTCCTAAGTTTAAAGGGGAAAGAGTTTTTCACAGAGGAAGTTTCTATTAGACAAGGTTTTTCTGTCTGCTTTCTCTCTCCCAGTGGCTGCTAGGTATTGCTGAACTAAAGTTGCTGTCAAGCTTTTTTTTTCAGATTTTATTTGGATGAATGGAAGGAGATGTATTTATGCTTCTCACTGAGCTAACAGCAATTTAAGAGATACTGTTCAAGGTAAAAGCCAAACCTATTTCATTTAAAAGTATGGATGTAACTTTGAATAGTTTCTTTAAGTAACCAAAAAAGGAGACCCAAAAGGGAATTGCATTTATAAGCTCCAATGTCACTTAACGAACAAGACAGATAACTAGGTATAAAAGTGTATGTTTGAAATTACTGTGACAAGCCACCTGATGTCTGGGATTTGGGATTACAAGTACATCCCAACCTGAACACAGCCCACTAGTCTAGGACTCAAGATTCATATGGATGAGTACAAGCAGATAATTTTCCAGTGGGCACAGCTATAGGAATTTTGTCTAGAAACAAATTCCAGTGTTTGATTACTATGACTGCAACTTTAAAAAATGATCAGAACTATTACACAAACTATTACACAAACTATTTTTATCACTGACTGACAATATTATATGGCAGGGGAATATTTACCTGGAATGCTCTCCAATTTTCTACGAAGTTCCTCATTTTCTTGTTGCAATGAAATTACCTCCTGCTCTAGCTCTTGACATCGTGGGCAGTAACCTTCTTCCTCTTCCTCCTCTTCCTCCTCTGGAAGTGTAGAAGATGATGGGTGACCATGAGATTCAGATGTTGCTGGAGACGTCCATCCACCTAAAGTGTGTACTGGAGAGGTTGAAAGTGGATCCACATCTGCCAAATGGCTAAAATCATTTACTGATGAGGTGTTTTGAGAAGGGAAGCTCCCAGAAAGCAAATAGTTCTGAAGGGAATCGGTAAAAACTCTCAGAAAGGCTGAGGTTTGTTGTTTCTTTTGCATATACTGCATCTCTATGTCTAAAATGTCTGACGTCTGACTATGGACCATTTTCCCAAGCTGACATTGCTCTTGTCTTTCACTATAATTTGGGTTTTCCTGCTTTATACAAGAAATCATGGACTGAGAGTGATTGTTGTCCAGTAGTTTTCCACCACAATTTAAGAGACTTAGAACCCGGCTGCATTGTTGGGCAAAGGCATCCAGAATCATTCGAGACTCTGCAACAAAAGAAAAGATGAATCACAGAAACCTAATGCAAAAGGCAGTAGCAGCTAGATGAATGTACACAACTGTTTACAGTAGCATGCATTTTATTTCTGAACACATTAAAATTATGGCTTCTGTGTTAATACTTCTGCAACACTGTGATTTAAAACAATCCCGACTTTGCTTCTATTTTGAGAGTGCCCTTGTGCCCTTGCTGTTAATCAGAAATGCATTGTGATGACAGTCACTGCTTACTGCCATCTACTTTCAGAGGAATTAAGACAGGAAAACAGGAAAGAAAATACAAATTCCATCCAATTTGCTACAAGTAAAAGTTCAAGTAAGTACTTCTCTGGAAGCCTATTTCAAGCTGCTGGCGGGCATTGCCTGTACATATTTGCAGGACTTCGCGCTACACCTTCGTCCTACTCCCTGCTCCTTTCCAACAAGACTTCCAAGCTTTGTTTTTTCTCTCTTTCATCTTTGCTACACTTGCCTGACGTTGGGTGTGGGACACTTCATGTGAACCACCGCCAGTTCTATGGACTTTGCTTCTGTTCCTTTTGCTTTAGGTTCCAGATATGTCCAAGAACAATTTAAGAGTGATAAACACAAAATCCTCTTACAATGAGAAAAGGCATCAAATGTACAACATCAAACTCCTCCGGTCAGAGGAGGAATTTTTTCTGTCCTGCTCACCTCTGATGAATTTGTGGGCTGGCCAGTATCACACAGTGGAGAGCAGTGCAAAGTTCTTCAAGCTGCTCTGGACATAATCAGCAAACTCTACATGGGGCTGAGCAGCAGTTTTGGGGACAGCAGCTCAGCTCTGGAAGTAGGATAAGGATGCCATGCTGTACCTAGTCAGCCTTGCCTCTGATGACAGGTGTCATGTCTCAGGGAGCAATAATAGCTACAATCTAAACCTACGTAGCAGGACAGTTCATTTTTCTACAGTGTCTATGTATATAGCTCAAGCTGTAACAGTTCTTGGACCCAGATGGAAAACGACCAAGATATTTACAGTACGACCTGTTAGGTTCCCCAATAAAAATAAGTTCTTTTAAATTTTTTTTTAGCTTATTCATAGCTGAGTTCCTCTAGGTGTCCAAAAAGATGTAACTAACATTTTGCATGAGATTAAAAAAAAAAAAAAAAGATTGGTAGGTTTAAGCGCTGCCAATTTTGGAGAGCTCTTCTCAGGCAGGCTTGACTTTTAGAAAGTGACAAATGCATTCACTTTTGAAAAGGCAACTGCTACAGATGCATGACACTAAGCACCCCAGACCTTCATTTAGCTTAACTTCATCACCAGAAATGAAAACACAGCCTCGTCATCACACTGATAATACGTAAAGAACAGAAACATTCAGAATTCAGGCCTTTAAGAGGTGGCACTTCTCACAATACTTCTCCACAATCCAGAAGATACACCTTCTGGTGGAAAATCTACTTCACACTAAGGTTAGTACAGCTGGCTTGAAGAATATTTGAAACAACACTAATTTGCATTTTTGCCATCCTCCAGATCTCTGCAAAGAGGGCAGGGCTGAAGCAGCATCCGAATGCTTTCAGTCTCAAATGGAGCCTGAGGAGACCTCCCTGGCACAAAACCCAAGGATGTGATCTCCGGGTGAAGGGTTGGGGTGGCCCTAAGACCACTTAAAGCATCCTCACAATCAGCCTCCTGTGCTAACGAGTGGTACCACACCCTTGCAGATGGGCTCAGATGAACCAGGCCAGACTTCCCCGACACATCTTTGATCCAAAACATTAAGCAGCGTCCCCTGTCCACACCCACAAACTGACGAGGGCAGAAGCACACGGGCCCTGCTGCTGGCCTCTTCGCCAGCGGGTGCCCGTGAGGTGCCAGGTGCTCCCCAGCCTCCAAACCCGCTGTCCCTTCTGCCCTTTTACTGCATTAACCTAAGGCCAGCTGTCTTTAACCCTTACGATGCAAGTGCAAAATAACACAGCACAACAGATGTAATGTAAATGTAAAGAATGGAACCCTCGTGATGCTGCAGCTTTCTAGCTGGGATCTACTGATAAACCAAAAGAAAATCAAGAAACTCAAGCATTGCTAACAAGTTGTGCTTTCTTTGCCTTATTTGTTTACTTCCCACATTTTCCCTTTAAAATTATTACAGGATCATATTGATTGGAACTTTGCAATCCTACTACAGAGCAGTTTTTTCATTCATTTTAATCCTATAATCCGATTCCAGACCTGAAGTCATATTTACTGTTTGTATTTTAATCATTATGGTCCCTGTTGACAAAACAGTTACTCATTCTTTGCATATCCTTGTTGCAAGGGGACAAAATCTGAATGAAAAGGGATTAGATTAGTATAAGAAATGTTATTATAATATTATGGTTTCTCCTAAAATATGGCAAAAAGTAACCTGACATTTCACATACCAGTTTTGAAGAATACTATAACACACACTAACATCAGTAAAGATAAAATTAACGATTAGTTTTGTTGTAAAATTGAATGCATTAGGCACATTCACTGTGATAATGGCTTAAAACGTAACTGAAATTTTATACAGAAACGACAGTATTGATTTAATCTTCAGTTCAGTATCAGATCTACTACAAAGACACAATAGCAGCAATTACTGTTTTTTTCTTAACTTTAACCCATACTCAAAGACATAAAAATGAAAGTCATGACGAGGCAGGACTATTCTGAAATGCTAGCATAAAGATCTGCAAATGCTTTTTTTGTGGGTACCACTGGGCGGCAATGAGGGATGCTCTCAGCACACATTCTGGAAACATCTGGCTCTGTGCTGAAGCAGGTACCACTTTGAAGCGACTTCTACACCCCTAACAATACACCTACCCACAGTCTGAACAACACTAAGTGAGAATGGTAACTACAGTTATTTCTTGTGATGGAGGCAAAAAAACCTCAACCAAATGCAGCCCATTTAGCATGTATTGTAGAAATTGGGATTTCAGCTTTTATGGGCTGACTGCAATTGGAAATGGAAGCCCTGTGCAATGTCTAATCACTAAGAAATGACAAAAGGTTGGTTTTACGTGATTACTACTGAATAATCACTGATCTGTGATTTTAACTGATTTAATGTAATGTATGTATTTTCCAGGAAGGGATTCTATTGAAATGACTGCACCTGACTAAAACAGTGTAAACAGTTTATTGAAGTCTTATTGTGATATTCCTTTTCCTTATTACGATGCTCACCAACCATGTAATTCTAATGCCTCAGACCCTGCAGTCTTTAGCCTTACAGAACTTCTACTGACTTTAACTAGACTTTTGCCCGAAGGCAGACTCGCTGGATCAGGCCCATAAAGTGCTAATAGGGCAGGATTAAATTCCTAAAAGTATAAGTATTCCTAACTAGAATATTTCAGAGTGCATGCAACCAGAAGACACTATCATATGGCAAACCAGGTACCAACTCCCAGATACAGCATTCCTCTTTACATCCTTTTCTCATTGATGCTGAACTAGGGGGCTTCTCAGCTATCCAACTGCCAGACTAAAACCAGGGTTTTAATAAGAGCAAGCTTCTGCAACTCAGCCTGGTGACTTACACTGATTCATCAGAAGAGATAACTGGGAAGATTGGCAGGTATAACATCAGCTTTTCCTACACCTGAGGATCTTTTCAATACTTAGGCCAGACAGCTTTATTAATAAGGCATTGTGTTGGGTCTCAATGACTCGGGATTCAGGTCATGGCTTTTCCATAGTTTCCTTTTGTAATCTTGGGCAGCTGGTTTAAAAAGTCATCTTTATAACTATTGCGTAGGTCTGAATACCATACATTCTCCCCTGCAGGGAATGCATTCATTGGTATTTAATTTTCACCAAGATTCTAAAGTCCAGCTTCCTTACCAATTTCAATCACCTCACTCTTTGCCTTGCGGTGAGTCAGTCCTCTCACCTGATGATTTGTATTTCTTGATTTGTTCGATTATTATCATATTATTATTAATTTAGATCCTGGGGCAGTAGCTCTGTATCCCCCAAACAGCTTTGTTCATGCATACAGACTTTGTCATTATGTTTCTAGACATGAACACGACTGTAGATATCTATGCTTGAGTTACAAAATTGAGAGCACTGACACCTTCCATGACTAAGTGATGCTTTCTTGGGCATTTTGCATGAAGATCACCAAGACAGTCCAGTGGATGAAGACTACAAGTGTTTAGCCCATTTCAGTACTGATCTGATAGATCTACTTCCAGATGAGGGTTTCCAACTTCTCGATTAAGGTCAAAATAAGGACCTTCACCTTCTCTGTTCACTTAAAAGACTTTTTTCTGTCTAGGCACAATAGAGCTTTATTAACTGGTTGCGTTAAACATGCCAGGTTGTTAGCACTGGAGTAACACCTCTAAGACAGCCCTGCTCTTCTTTCTCTGATTTCCATGAAAGCCCACCTTAAATTTTAAGGCACTCTGTAAGGTCCATGCCATGCTTGCCTAAGGAAAAGGAGTTTCTTTGGTGGACTATGATACTGTTTAACATACATGCTACCAAAGACAAACATATACGTTGTTTTCATACCAGGAAAATAATCTGAATAGACTAATAAAGAATTAATATAGGAGTAAATGAGTATCTGCTGGTGCTTTGAATGCATCTGTTTGTGTGGCTTACTCTGCAGCAGCAGCAGCAGTCAGAGTAACCACTATTCACTAGAGGAGAGAGAAGACTCGCATTGCAGTGCAGCTCCACATTTCTCATT